AAAAATGTTAAAATGTATGAAATCAAATCACATGATTGGCGGAGCCCGGAATCGGGAAATTAGTTTAAGTTCGGAATATATTATATTAATAACCCGCAAATAGTAAACATTTTAAAGAACAAAACAAAATTATTTATCTTGGTTTTACTACCAACCTTAGACAAATACTGAAGAGGAACACTTTAAAAACTGAAACTCGATTCCGACAAAATTAGTCGACTGTAATCGATGAATATATGATATTTCGTCTGACTATTTTCTAAAATAATATTGGAGAATGTGATTGTATCATAACCTAGGTTATGACATTTTGATAGCCAATTCCAATTATTATAGCCGGAATAGAATTTGGAGCCTTACTGTATAAATGGAATATAATACACATTTCCGACTTTGGCTTGGATCATAAAATCTCAGATCGACCACATTATATAGCTCGACAAAAAAGCGCACACGCATAGTGGCCTGGATGTGTTAATGATTAAATACTGCCTAATCTAGATTTTTTCGATAATTTTCCAAAATGACGTGATAATTGTTTACAGTTATAACATCATTATATTTATCTATATTCCATTCTAGTATTCGAATATAAAAATATTTAAGAAATTATTGCATCAACAAACGAATAATAATTTTGCGTGGGAGTGTTAAATGTCTGACAATTTCTAGTATTCTGACAATTTGACAGATTAAAGAAATTATTTATTTGAGCACACTGACAACATGTCACTTTTTTATATAAAAATTAATGTTTGCACTTACATTAAATATTGATTTTGGACGCTTTTTGCGTGCCGGTGGTTTTGGTGGACCATTTAAATTGTGGCAGTTATGAAAGAATAGCAACGAGAAATTTCCTGCCGAATCACTGCAGTTGCTACTTTGACCGGAAGTACTACTCATTTTCATAAACTTTTCCAATAATACATTATTTGAAAAGATAACTAGATTTGCATTAAATGCTGTTTTACTTTTAAATGCTTGAATATATTTTTATTTATTAATATTTCACTTCATAAATTTTTTATTTAAACTAAAGCACGTCACCGAAAATTTTACGCATTTTCTTCAATGAAAATATAAAATTCGCCCGGTTTTTTTTTTTGGTGAAACAAGAAAATTTAGCGAAATGAAAATATTACCGCACAACAACTGATGATATTGAATGAAAAACTGTTTCAAATAGCAAACAAAAAATTAAGAACAAATCTCATTTCGAAAATATTGCACACCAACACTTTCACATAGTGAATGAAATAAAACCTACGACAATAAAATAAATTTGTATTTCAAAATCACAACTCATTTGAAAAAAAAAACATAAGAGAAACCTCAATCTCTTGCGAAAAACAATTCTCTGAGAACAAAAATTCCATTTGTTGTCTCTAGACGATTTCCTGTTGAACTTGTAACATTTATCAGCCAACAAAGTTCATGAGTAATGACATTTAGTTGTTGTCGTTGGTGTGGGGGAATTCTTTTTTATTTAAATGTTAAGTTATTGAAAAAACATCTCAACATCATCTAAGAGTTCTATGTTTTTGTTCGAAACAACAAATTTACTTTGACGCTTTCCCATCAAGTTTTTTGTTGGCAGAGTGACAAATTTTGTTGTTTCACCAACATTGTGTTTTCTTTTCACCTACCCTAGGAAACACACAGCCACCTAGTGCTGCGTCACTCGTATTTGTTGCATTGGAAATAATTTTTGGGAGAGACCTGAATTTATATACATATATGTATGTATATATGATTATTGGTTATTTCGAAACGTTTCTATAGATATTTTGGGTATTAAGAATAGAAATTGCTTTTAATCGCTTTATTAGCAAACATTTTAGAGAGAAATTCTAATAATCTCTAGAGAATGGGTGGGAAAATTGTGTTATTAAAAAGGCTGTACCAAAATTAACGTAGCAAAATAACATAGCAAATATATATTCGACAGTTGAAGTCTTCTTTAGCCAAAACCGAACCCACATGCAACATTTCCATTGGTCAAAAACCCACACATGGCAACATCTACTCAGTCGAGATATAACAGTCGGTATGGGCCTAGGACCAATAGGACCAATGTGACCAGTATTTTGGGAATTCCGTTTTCCAACCTAACGAAAATCAATGTCTACTCAAGTTTCGGAAAGTTTACTCAAGTTTTCCATATAACTGTAGCTTTCACTATTGGATTTTTGAGGATTTTATGTTTTTAAATCGTGTTGGCTCTTATTTGCATATTTCTGGTTCTCAGTGGGTGACAGATCTTTCAACCAAAAATTATAGTCCCATATAATAATCCAGCCTCTTTACAGTTATTTTAGTGGTCCTAAGCACATTGCCAATCATCTAAAGAATAATAAGGCAATAGGTGTCGATGGGTTACCAGCCGAACTATTCAAGACCGCAGGTCAGATGCTACTACCAGCTGGTCAGGAGCATGTACCAGCTCATTAGTACAATTTGGCTAGAGGAATGCATGCCCAATGATTGGAACCTCAGCATCCTGTGTCTCGTGCACAAAAAGGAGACAAGACGATACAGGAATTAGTCTCCTTCCCATCGCATATAAAGTGGTATCCTGCGTACTGTGTGAACGACTGAAGCCAATGGTCAATGATGTTATTGGACCATGCCAATGCGGTTTCATACCTGGCAAATCCACCATTAATCAGATTTTCACACTGCACCATATGCTGGAAAAGACCCACGAATAACACATCGACATATTCCACCTATTCGTCGACTGTAATGCCGCATTCGACAGCACTATCCTTTCCATTTATGCGCTCGGCAAAATTAATAAAGCCATGCAGGATAAGCTTAACTGGTACAAGCAGCAGCAGTCGGAAAGGAATTCTCGGAGCCCTTCAATACCGAACGAGGATTCAGATAAGGGGGCAGTTTGGCACTCTGTACACCAAACAACACATGTTACTCGCCTACGCCGACGACATCGACATAATGGGTCGAACATTGCGAGCGGTAACAAAATTGAGAAGGAGTCTGCCAAAGTGGGTCTGGCAGTAAATGGCGAGAAGACCAAACTGATGGTATCAACGTGCAAGACATTCAGTAGACTCGAACCAACTGTGGAACTTGCAAATTACAGCTTCAAGGTGGTCAAAGATTTTATATACATGGGTACCGCCATAAATAAAACTAATGACATCAGTTTTGAAATTCTGAGAAGGATAGTGTAGACCAACAGATGCTACAATAGTCTAAGTAAGTAGTTTAAAATCAAGGCCACCTCTCGCCAAACCAAACTCACGAAGTGTTGCAAACTTAATATACCCTACACTTTTGGTGGAGGGTATAAAAATGTAAATGTTGATCCTTTGAACGAGTAATATCGTTCAATCACGAAGTGTTGCAAACTTAATATACACTACACCTTTGGTGGAGGGTATAAAAATATAAATGTAAATGTTGATCCTTTGAACGAGTAATATCAGAATTACTAGATCTGTAAGTTCTATAATCGGATCGGACCTAGTTTTTTTTAGGAATATAAAAGGATTTCAAAATTTGAACCAAAACAATAACCAAATAATATGAGATATTAAAGTAATTAAGTAATTAGGAATAGAGGAGTTACCAACACGGGTGGGCCTAGAGGCTCCAAGATGCATAGAGGTACCAAGTTGAGGACAAATTCAATCACATTCGTTCAAATTGTATTATCAATTTTTTTTCTTTACAATGTTTATCAGTTCGTGGAATGTAACCACCAAATAAGGTAGGATAAAATATTACGATTACATTTCCCAAACAACTCCAAAATCTGAAATGAATTTGGCCTATGTTTATAATCTCGGGCATCTTTACAAACTTTTTGGAAATATTTTTGACTAAGAATTTTTTTTCAAAAAATATCGTGATTATATATTAAGATCTTTTAATGAATATATAAGGATAATAATCGAATATATGAAAACTATAAAGTATTTTTAGTTTTGAGAATAGTTTTTTTAATTAATATCCATTTAAAAAATTAATTGCATATTATTATATATATGCATATTAGAACATTTTTCAAAGTGTACCATTTCAAAATTAAAAACAAACATGCAAATTAAATACCAAAAAAAGGAACATGCTTAAAAACTTTAAAAACAACATAAATAGAAGCTGCAGAAAAATAAAAGCTAAAATATACTCAGCCTACATTTTAAAAATACTCTTATTGTAACTAATTATTACATTTTTAATAAACTTATAATTAAACATCAACTTAAAATAACATTGTGTTTTGCTTTACAAACAATACCATGGCAGGAGATAGATGTGTCAATGCTACTTGAAAAGTGCTTAAAGTAAACAAAGTTTGTACTACTAAAAGAATAAATTATAAAAATTAAATTAAAAATATTAATAAAGTAAAAAGTGTGCTATAATTTTTAGGGGCGAGACCCATAAATATATTTTTTATTCTGGAAAAAAATAAAGCTCTCCACTCTAAAGATGCAATGTGAGACAATCGTTCAGACATTCTTCATTTTGTACTTGGTGTTGGATTATGATTGAATGCTACTCACTGTTGTCGCCAAACTGGGAACACAATAACAATGATCCTTCATGGAGAGTACATCATCACTTGATTCACCAGCATCCTCATCATCATCGCCATGCGAGTGGCGATCAACGCTAAATGGCCGGTGATGACGATTGTGGTGTTTTGCCACATGCGGTGATCCTGGAGGGCATGTACAAAATTCTTCGCTATTATCTTCTGATGTTTCCGAATTCAAATTGAATTCTTTGGCAAAATCGAAGACACTTTTGCTCGGATGTATACGACGACGTTTCGTACATACTTTACACAATTTACCTTTGCGCAATTGAAAATTTATGAATTTCGAACGGAATGTTTGTCGTATGGCTTTGGATTTCTTTTGTATTTTTGGCACTTTAAATTTTAGCTTTGAGTTAGATGAGTCCTTGGACGGATTCATGTTGGCAGTGTTTGTTGTTGTAGTGGTGGTGGTGTTGATTTTTGTTGATTGACTTGAGGAATCAAGTAATGGATCGGTGTGTGTGGATGGTGAACTGAGTGTGGAAGAGCTATTTTGATTATTACCATTATTATCGGTTAACTGAGTTTCTGGATAATTTGGTGTACCGGAGGGTGTAATGGCTGACCCACCGGTTTTTGAATGTAATGACGATGATGTATTGGATGAGGATGAAGTTCCCTCGGAACTTTTATTATCATTAATTCCATTTGTTTTCATTGAATTGAAACAACCGGTATCCTCTTTTTCCGGACTATCTTTACTATCCATGGATTTATGCATTTTGGTTAAAGGACTCTTAGAGAATTCCTTGATGTTGCATAAAATGGCATTAATGGATTTTTGTGAGAAGGATAATGATCGTTTCTTGTTCTTATCATTTTGCATGGTAATGGGTAATTCTCGATCTGAACTCGAGGTGGATATACGTTTGATGTCATTTGGATTACCACTAATGGGTCGTGTTACTACATCAATTATTTCCGCTGATTCAATGGCATCCAAATCGGTGACCTGTGGTGAAATCGTCCTCTTAAGACGATTATCCAAGGTACGATTCAGTTCATCTATGCGATCTAAATGAGCATCTATGGAATTTTGCATTACTTCGGGTATGGGTTTTTGTTCATTATTATCTACATCTACACCATTGGAATTGATGATTACTTCCTGGCCATTAGAACTATTTTCTTTTTCCTCTTCAAGTATGGTTTTCTTTCCTTCGGTTTCTTTATTTTCCTCTGCCTTAATTTCCTCCTTAATACTTTCCGGTATTGCATTGATTTCTATAACCACCTGTTGCTGTTCTCCCAGTGTCGATAACAATATTTCCTTTTCACATTTATTTTCCACAATAATTTCATTTTCTTTGTTTACATTTTGGATTTCGTCCTCCTTGGGATGCATATTCTTTTCCACGGCCTCATCCACCGCAATTTCCTTTTTCTCCTCCACGCCGATATCCTTTTTCTCCTCTTCTTTCAAATCTAAATCCGCATAAATATGATTATTGTTATTATATGACCATTTCTTATCGTCATATTCATCATCTTCCTCGTGCTGTTCCCTGAGCTCATTGCGCATCAATATCGAACCGTGGCTCATGCTGCGTCTTAGCTTGGATGGTACAAATCTTAGTGGCGGTGTCAGCTCCTTAACAAAATCACTTAAATCATGCATAAAACCCTGATTGTTATTAGCTTCAAAACTGGCAGCCATGCGCATGGGTAGGTTAGTAATAATAGGCTCATATTTTGCAGGGCTATTGGGACTAATTACCGATAGTGAACCCAGACTCTGAGAGCGTGGTTTCATTTTACTGGTCAAACGTTTGGCTCGCGCTGCTGCTGTCGGTGTTGTCGGCTGGGGTGTTGATTTACGTTTGAAATGACGTCCTCGCAGTAGGGTGAGAACACCACCGCGTCGCCGTAACTCATTGAATATACTTACACTTGTTGTTGTATGATTGTTGTTATTGGAGTTCTAGAGTGTGTGTTTTTTGTTTTTTTTATTTATTTTGTTGGTTAGTTTTTATGTTGGGTCGTATAAGAAAGAAAGATATGGGGAAAAATTCAAAATCATGTTATTTTATATAAATATTTGGAATCATTCACCAGTTCTAATTAAAAAGGGTATTCCTATGACTTCTGTTTCGAGGAAAGTGATCGAAAATTAAGTTGTTTTTATTGACACAATATACACTTCAATTCTGTTAATAAGGATTCAAGTGGTCGAGCCATGCGGACACGTAAGAAAAACAATTCGATTTTTTGTTAACCAATTTGTAGGCCTTCTATTTGAAGTGTAGTTTTATAGAACTAGGTTTTTTGTGAGGCCTGGATTCTTTTAGAATATTTTTTCTTGGTCTGTACGAGTCGTGGATTTAATATGGGCTCTGATTTTTGTAAGAATATTTTTTCTTTGACTGCAGATACATAGGTTTTTAAGAATATTTTATATAGAACTATGAGATGCCTGTGTTTGTTCGTTCGGAATATGTTGAAGACATTTTATTTTAATTACAGAAACGTGGATTTTAGGGATATTTTTTCTAAGACTAGCATAGGCATATTTTTTAAGCTGATTTATAAGAAACCTTTGGGAATATTTACACTATCGCGGAGTTTTTATATTTTATCTAGGAAGTTTAAGAGTGTATTAAATTAAAATATCTTATTATGAAAATGGACCGAACTTTTTATACCCTCCACCATAAAATGGGCATTCAAAATACCTAAATTAATCGGCAATTTTATATGGGGCTATGTCACAATAAATTGGTGCTAGGAGAAAGCAGAATACTAAACTACAATCTCTCAGAAAATTGGGCCAAGAGCTTGACTTCTATGAAGATGTCCTGTGAAGTTTTTTACCCACCAAGTCGCTTTGTTATGGTAAAATATAGTCAAAAACCCATTTAAAATAAATATAAACGGTCTGGACTTTAATATGGGTTCTATTCCCGATATTTATTATTTTTGATATGTAGATTTGTGATCCAATCTGACTCCAAATATCAAATTGGACCCCATCGCTTAAAAAGCATGTTGGAAATCTTCAAAATGACGAAACTATGAAGTAACATTATATGGAGACTACGCCTGATAATGAGTCAATATTGAAATCGTGAACAACTCCCCAAAAAAGTGAAATTTGGGGTCATATAGGGTCTACCATAAATATTGGACCAATATTGATATTTTTGGTAGAAAATTTTTCTACGCAATGATTACCCAAAGTAGCAATTTACAGCCAATTTTGTTGAAAATGTGTTCCAAATACCGAATTTTTGGGGTTCACTGTTATATATAGGCTATACTAAAACGTGGACCAATATATCACATTTTCAATACCAAACATCCTAGTAGTAGTTGCTGTGTATGTGTAAAATTTCAACGTCCTGTCTTAAATATTACGAGACTAAAGACTAAATTGACATAGAATTTTATTCTGATCAAGAATATATATATATACTTTTTGGGGTCTCCGGTGAATATTTCCAGATGATACAAGCAGAATGTCAAGTTGCATATACACGCCACTTGATGGTGAAGGGTATAAATCGTTGGATATGTGTATGTATCTTAGATTTGGTCAACAATATTTGAGTCTTTTTCTGTGTGCCACATTTCCCACAACTTAATTTTCGATCACAAAATTATTAAAAAAAGGAACTCCTACAAACAATCACTTGTCATACGTAATGCATAGACCACAACCGTTTATATCTGCTATTTTTTGATATATAAATGACATACTAAATGTAATAATTTTTTGTATTATAAATAATACTCCATAACCTCAATATTTATGTAAGTGAGTAATGCATGAAATTCGTATATAAAAATACCCTACACCATAAAAACATTAATCACATTCACAACTCACCTGATGATTATCATTATTATAGCCACTATGTTCAAAGCAGGGGAAATTTGGCAAATCATCACCGGGTGGTAATTCTTCACAACCCACTTCGTTAAGGGCACACTTGATCATATCCAATAGCTTTTGTTTTTGTTTCTCCTGACAACGTAGGGCATTCAAATCCTTCGATTGGCGACTGTAAAATGAAAGGGAAATAATGTTAACTAATGTGTTAGGAAATTTAAAGCGGTTGATATGAAAATACTTTTGATTTTCCTTTGACGATTGTATGCCATTGCTGTTAATGCTACCATTGGAGGTTATCGAACCATTTGCTATGGGCGAACCACCATTGACATGTTCAATCATTTTCATTTGTTTCTCTTGGCAGTCTCGTACAAATAATTCCAATTCCAATTGTTTGGTACGCAACCAATCGACAGTTAAATTATCAACGGCCAATGTACTGGACTGTAATTTGCCAGGGATGTCTTTGATGAGCGATTCATCGAATTGAAATACAACAGGGGTGGTGGGTGATGTTCTGGAAGAGAAAAAAGGAAAGGTTTTAAATTTTTTTTTTTGTCTTTATTTACTTTGTAATTGAAGCCAAATTATAATTTAATGGCCAATTTATGTATAATTACAAAGAATCCACATTATATCATAGCTACTCTAAAACAAATTCTTATAAATATAATATAATAAATATTTTAAACATGTTTAAATCTGCATTACATCATGACTACTCAAATATATCCACTTTTAAACATTTTAAAAACTTCGTGACATCATGGCTACTCAAATTTGTAGTTTAAAATAAAATTTGAAAGTAGTTTTCAAGATATAAGAAAATATAGTTCGGCGTGTTGTATTCTTGAAGACTAAAAGATTTCCTGGAAGAAAATCTTGAATATTAGTTAATGTATAAAGGTGCCGCCCCGTTTTAGGCATTTTTATGCTATTAATCGAATTTTCGATTAATATAGGTCTTCTTATAAATGCGGTGTCCCATTTTTGGTATTTGAATGTACTAGTTCACATAAGTTAGCCTCCATAATATTGGAATTAAAGCAATTTAGTATGCCGATTTCTCAGGGGATGAAATAGGTATTTCTGCTGTTGTTGTAAAAGCCCTATTGTTTTTACACAATGGACTGATGTGGCAGACGTTGGCCGAGTAAGGCTCAGGTCATTTTGGAACCTGGAAACCTGTCTGGTATATTTCTTGTTTTGGTTCCTTACAGACCATTAACAAAAAGTCATTTAAAGCATCGAATTGCTGCCACAGTCCTGACCACGAAGGACAATTTCCAGTTCACAAATCTCAAAAATTGTCGTCTAATAAAGAGGTGATAAATTAAACTGGTACCTTTCGAAAGTTCCGATATTCAGAATATCATCCTGGTATGTTTTATCTGGGATTACATTCATCCTGGTGTGTCTGGACAGTTAACAAGGTCATCCAGACTTATGTCTGAAGTCTCAGCTTGAAGTTAATGTTTCTGTTGGAACTCAAATTGCATTTCAACAGAACTCTGGTTGTGACACCGTCTTTAGGAGAAGATCCAGCTTGTGTTAGATTGTCCCTTTTTCGCATAAACCCCGATTTGACAGACGATTAAACATAGCTATTACAGAATACACTCGAGTGTGCATAATATGCTCTCAGAAGTTGATATAACAGTTTCCTCTGAGACTCGGACCGGAGCTGATGACACAACTCATTTGGTAACTGTCCGTTTCGTATACCTCCGATAAAAATAATGTTATAATCTGTCAAATTAACTCAAAAGGCGAATTAGAGTTCATTATAAGAGTGCAGTAGTCGGGGTAATTTACTATATCTCTTAGAAGATTAAAATGTATATAGGCAGGCCTATTACTCCATCTGAAATAACCTACGGCTCATTTTGAATCCGTTTGTGTGAAACATAGTGACGAAATCTACAACTGAAACTTCGATTCTCTAATTTATACAGAAAAGGGCACAAAACTCCTAGACCCAAGTGGTTTTTTCCACAGTCGGAAATATAACTGATGAAAGTGTCACCAATACACAACAACCTTAATCAGCAGTAACGGTGAGATCACTTTACCAATAAGTCTCTCGGTTGACGGGCTTCGACACCATGAAGCATTTATGGTTTTCCTCCGTTACAAGCTAATAATCTAACTATACAAGTATGGTTCTAATTGATCCGTTTTTTACAGCCCACATTAGGTAAAAAGTCTAACATTATAATCCAAATCTAACACAATTCCTCTGCGACCTTTTACATTTCTGAACATTCGTCATTTCATACACCAACTCACCTATGCTTTTCGGTAAATTCCCGATATTCCTCACTTGGATTTATACTGTTTATCACATTATCGATACGTTTTTGAATTTCTTTAAATTTATCCGCGGTTAGATCACTATGTTGGCTGGCCTCCTGTAAAATGTTCTTCCACAGTAGTATGAAACTTTCTTGGACCGACTGTTGATGTTCCAAGAGACCGGGTAGGAGTATGGTACGGAAATCTTTTTCAACTTCGACGGCTTCGGTAATGGAGAGTACATATTCGTTGTGGGTTAAATGTAATTTTCGGCAGGCTTTTTGATATTTATCACGGACATCATCAACTTTGCGGCCACTGCGACCAGCTATAATGAGAGAGCAAATGGAAATAGTAGAATATTTTTTAAGTATATTTTGGAAATACTCACCTTTAATATAATGTTCCTCAAAGCGATCCCTTAATGTCCGATAGCCATCCAAATGTTTTGTGTATTCGTTTTTCTTTCGTACCACCTCTTCTGTGAGCTGGAAAATTAAGAATAGAAAGTTCAAATTTTAGTATGGTTTAATTATCACCACAGGAAATGACTAGAATAAAGAAAATGCAAATATGGAATTACAAACTATAATTAACCAAAATCAAGAGAATATTTCCAGTTTTGTGCCCATTATTTTGGTTTTAAGATCAGCTGATATTTGGCAAGTGCTTTCACCGATTGTCTGCAATATTTTTGTTTGAATGATTCTCTGAAATGAGCACATGAACTAGATCAGTCCTAATAATCTACTACGATCAAAATTTTAGCCGGCATTTTGATTTTTGAAAAAAAGGATTGTGTAAAAAATAAAATTCAAACAATAAAAATCCAACAATTGTTCTATGAAATTGATAGTGGATTAAGAACTTGACAAACCCAAGAAAGTACAATCCAACGAGATCAAATAAATTGAAATTTAATTCCAAATCTTGCTGATTTTTAGTCTAATTTTCGATTATTCAAATATAACTGATCAGACATGTCTCTGAAGAAAGTTAATACTATATGAAAAACACACTCGATAAAATAAGAATAATATTTGAATTTTAAGAGCATTTCTTCCAGGATGAAATAAAACGGACTCTCACCGACTTTGCTCATCCATCTCAAGGTTGTATTAAAAAATGTCAAGGACTGCTTAAAGCGTACATTTTTATACACTTAGCCTTATAGTTAATTAGGGTATATAGACTTTGCTAGCACAAAAATGTGCCTAATCGAAATATTACTTTCAGACCCCATGTTTCTTTGGATCAAATCCGTTTCATAAGCCTCTATCACGGTCTGGCTTGCTGGTGCACACAATAACTCTCATTCAAACTTTGCACATCGTGATATATCCTCCCAATTCATATAAAGTTCAGAGATGGAGAATATCAGTCCACTCCTTTTGGTACATCCCCACTAAATGTCAAAATTTTGCTGCAAAATTAATTTTATGATATCGTGCGAACGGACTATCCGATTTGAACTAAACTTTAAACTACCTAATATTTTAACCATGCCTGTATAATATTTAATGTTTTGACTTATCGGTCCACTCCTTCTAGTACCTCCCCCACAAAGGGTCAACATTTTTAAAATTTTTAATTTAATATCAAGCGAATGAAACGTCAGATTTGATCCAAACTTTGCATATCATAATATTTTCAACTTTCCTAGATAAAGTCCGATAACAGGACGCGTCGGTCCACTCCCTCTGGTACCTCTTCCACAAAGTGTCAACATTTTGAAGACTTGTTAATACAATATCAAGCAAATGAAATAATTTTCCCTAAAACTTTGCAAATCGTAATACATTTACAAACATAGATTATATCCGAAAATAGGAACTATCTGGCAATTCCTTCTGCTACATCCCCACGAAGGGTCAACATTTGAAAAAATGTTTAACAAGTGAGTGGAATATTCGATTTTTTTCAAATATTGCAAATCGTAATACTTTGACCAAAGCTAGACTAATGGGTCGATTGGAATAATTGTTAAAATTACTACAAAATGGCGAACATCTTCTTTGGGGACGACGATATGTATGCCATCTATACATCCGACAACTCCCGGGAACTTGGTTTTTGAATAAAAAAATAGATTCTTCCCCTTTTCCTCCTCTGTTAATTTGGAAACAATCCAAATTTAACACAGTTTTTCCTCTATTAGCCGGACAACTTCGATCAAAACCACCGACATTGTGGATTGAGCCATGTCAATGTTGAAGTCATTGCCTCCGAAAAAAACCTCAGAGCTGCACACACTTTTAAGGAGGAGGAGGAATTGCTGTTGACCGTCGGGATTTATCTCTTAATGCCTTCCAATAGATGATACGCCTTGCACATCATTTTCATCATCAAAAAATAGTTCCAGTGAGCTTATCATCACTTAAGGGAACCCCCCCCCCCCCCCCATTCACGATTTTTTATTTTTAAGATTTTAAATGGGCTGGTAAATGAATACCAATGCTTGTTAAGGTTTGTAACTATTTGAAGATTTAAAATAGAAGAAAAATAATTTACAAAAATTGTTGTTGTTGTTTTTTGTGATCAAAGAAAAGTCGTTATTTTTGATGGCGGGCATGATAACTCCTCACTGGAACATCGGAATCCGAAAATTCCAACGGTGTTGGAAAGAGTACATGTCTGGCTCTCGTATGAACTAGGATTATTGACCTCGCTCTAAAATTAACAAAATGGCGGACCTTTGAAAAAATATTTTTGAAAAATCGCCGATTTTTTACCAAAAACCAAGCTAAAAAATAAGGAAGATCTTCACCGATTGGCTTTATCCTAGTTCATACGATAGCTATACACTCACAGAGAAACGTGTAAAAATCGATTGGGTTATTAGTTTTTGAGTTATCGTGCCCGCCATTCGCAAAAAAATGTTTAGAGAAAAACGCGTTTAAAGTTTGAGAAGCCCTTTAGCCGTCACTTGATGCTGACACAATAAATCGGCTATATCTTCAAGAGTTCTTGAGATTTTAACTTGAAATTTTGCAGGGATATTCTTGAATTAGTGTAGATTGGAATTAAGTCAACAAAAATTTTGACCTCGAGAATGGGGGGGTCCCCTTAAAATTGTTTTTTTCTGAAATATTCTATTCAATTTTGTGTTTGTTTACAATATTTCTAGTTGCAGAAGTGTCAAAACAGTATTATCGACCGCAACTGAGAATATTTGATATTCATAATGTTAAGTTTTATTTCAGTGGCGTTGCCAGTTGAACTCGCAACTGGAGTTTGGTTGCTATCCATAATCGACCCATAAATCGGAAAGTGGGACTCATCGGTCCACTCCTACTGGTACCATATGGCCTATAGGGCAACCTCTTCTGGTATCGATCCACAAATGATCAACTCTTTCATAAAAATATATATATAATTCTGTAGACGTCTACAAACCGTAGGCCGTGGCACCAACGACTCACACTTTTTACTAGTTTTCCAAGTATGTTTGAAAACTATTTTTCGAAAAAATCCCTAGGCTGAAGTTTTTATAAAGCAATTATTGAAGGACCAACTCCTGAGTGGATTAATTATAAAATGATAGAACAACCTCTAGAGAAAATTTTCAGATTATATTTTGTATAATCGGTGGCGCCAGCGAGCAAATTTGTGTTGATAATACCTCGTTCCGGCACGTTTGAAACGCAACGATCAAATAGAATCTAGCTAATTAATGAAATCGTTAAGAATTAAAAAAAAAATGTAATATTGTTTCATTAATTCTATAATTAGTCAAGAACAAGTCATTTAAAAACTCAAATTCTAAAACAATTTAATATTTTTTAACCACCATTTATTGTTTATTAATTTCCCTTTTGCAATTTATTTAACGAATATTCATTGATTTTTTTGTTTTGCTGCTTCATTAAATTAGGTTACTTGCGATGATGATTGTTGTTCAGAGACAAAAAACAACAATTTCAAAACGTGTTGACCAGGTCAAACATTTTAACCCACTGCCACAATTTCGTTTTGTTTATTCCAATTTCAATCAACGTTATTGGCGTAACACAATTGAAATTGAAGAAATAAGCCGCCCCCAACAGGCGCGTGTTGAAGTGAGTACGGCAAACACAAGCTGAAAAAAATGACGATATATACACGGTTTGGATTGAATTTCAAAAATGAATGAATGACGTTAAATGACGATATGAAAAAAAACGATAAGAGTTAAGAGGGATATGTATTTCATAAGTTCCAATACATGCCAATGTGTGTGTGCATATCGGTGGGGTGTTAATGTGGTGGGCTATGTCTAACTTGAAATGAAAAAAAATCCACTCAAAATCAGAAATTTGTACGAGTAGTTGAAATTGTTTTTTTTTTATTTTTATGGATTTGTTTGAAAATAACAATGTTTAATTGATTTTTTCAAACTTTTCTCCAACAATAACAAAAACCTTACGAATTTAACAAGGTAAATTTTTTTGTACATATATAGAAGCAATTAAAAGAGGATACAGTGTCTCAAAGGTTTAACAAAGGATATTGTAACACTTACACCCTGTGGTCTGAGATTCTAATTGAAATATATATGTATGTGTGTGCATAAACCAAGACGTATTAACCGAAACATACTCAGCAAGGTTTTGCGTACCACCATGTGTTGTGTTGTTTAAAGTGACATAAAAAATGATTTGCCAAAAAATGGAATCAACTCATAAACATTTTGGTGCGATCATTTTCACAACTTTTGCAGTGTTTATAACGGAATAGAGGACATAGATGAACTTAAAAAATAAAACCCCATGCCCAAACACTCTGAAAATCTGGCGTCAATTTCGATATGTTCAAGTCTCATATAAATTAAAGTTTCCATCGATTTTAGGTATTTTTTTAAGTATATTTTTGGCTGGATCGAACTGAAGCTATTATTCTTGAACCTATCTTCCAGCAGGAATTCCCATACTTTCATATTCCTTCCCCACAAATAAAATCTACTAATAACAGATATGAAGCCTCTGAGCCACTGTACTTAATTGTTATTCATGGCACACATTTAACCAACTCTTTTGCATACGAGGCTAATGGGAGGAATGTTTTTTTTCTTTCTTAGATTCGATTTGAATTGTCTGCCACTTCTTCTTGTTCAAAGTGATTTCAAGAAGCAAAAGGTGTATGACTGACTGGTTGGTGTTGAACGGCTTGTTCAAACCACACACTGTCTCTCCATTAATTTAGCTTCTTCTTCTTGTTTTTATTCATTGTTTCTTTTGAAGTGATTACGTCTCTTTGAAAAGTATTGAACGTGCAGTTTGCATTTTCTTTTCGAATATTTTCACGTATTCTTTGACAAAAATCACAAATAAAACAGCCTGTTTGACTGGCTGCACTCAATGGTGCTGTTAGTGGTGTTCGCCTGCGGATTTCATTGTGGTTAACCTTATATAAATACATATATTCAAAATATTATGTCGGTATTTATTTCTCCTAATCGAAGATAAAAATACAACGCTTCAATTTGTATTCTTGTCAGGTTTATAAAAAA